ATTATCGACTTTAATTTTCAGGTGAAATGGTTGGTCGACCATCAAGGGTACCATACCTAAAGGGAGGTTTTGAAGTCAAAGGCCTCCCTGATGGCATTGCTTTCAAGAAGCCATTTATGTATGGTAGCAAGCAAATAAAGAGGATAATAGCTGCAAAAGTGAAATATCATTTCATCCTGCTCCAACCACTCCATCAGGTCCAGCAGATACTCAATCAAGTCCAGCAGACACTCAACCAGTTCCACCAGACAGTCCAACAGCAGACACTATTGCAAAACCTGTACCTGCTGATATGGATCAAGCTTTGCAAGAAGCTTTGAAGGCTATAGCAGGTGAAKTGGTTGCAGGGAGGGTCCTTCAAGGAGGAGACCCTATTTCTGAGGAAGAAGTGGAAGTAGTCAACCTCATTCTTGATGATCACCTGATGTGGGCTGTGCAGAGTGAGGGCTTTAGGTTTTTCCACCCTGAAGCCTGGCTTGCCTTGCATGGAAATGTTCAGCACAACAAAAATGGAAAGGGAGTCATCTTGCCTGTTYTAARCCAAGAAGGAGATGAGAGATTCTGGCTGTTTTACAGCACTCTAAAGCTTAGYCAGGTGTTGTCTGCAAGCAGGCAAAAGCCTTTAACAGGATATTGGCTTAACTTAGATAATGCYGAGTCATCTGAGTATGATATCCTTAGTGATTATTGTACAAATATATCAAAAATCAATGTTGTTAAACTAGAGGATGGATCACCCTTGTACCACCAATGTTCTTTAGATATCAGCAAAGACAAGACGTATAAGTTGGATGACTTCTTTAAACACGCTATACTGACTGTTTTAGATAGGACCATTAACATGACTCTAGATTCTTAGCTTTATATATWCCTGGGGGAAAGGGTGAGGGGAGGGGGTACTCCCTATAATGGGACATACAGAAATGGTCTGCCCGAATGGGTTAGGTTTCCCTAACAGTACAACTATATATTKAAGGGGCACCCCTTTAAGTAATAATTCACTTACGGGTTGAGAGTCTAGGCAGAGCTTCCCCATATAAAACATTCCAGAGTACCCTCCCCCCCCCCCAAGAGCAATGTATCAATCTTTTCTTTTCTCTTCGATCGACTGCGATAGGCTAGAGAATAGATTGATATCACATATTGATGTCATAGTGACAATTTGGTATAACGACAACCCAATGAAAAAATTGTAATAGATCAATGTAATCTTGATGATGTTTGATTGCTTGACTGTTTGGATGTTTCAATTTACCTTTATCTATTATTATTTGCATATAGCTCTCTATTTCACATATGAGATAAGAAATATAGATTCCATTGCAACTGGTTAGCTAATTAGTGAAAATATTACGATGTAAATAAGACATCTGCACAAGTTGTAAGATGTTGTCAAAAAGGTTTTTGTGTCCACGTATGTGCCTGAGCAGCACTGTAAGTACTTAACAACATTAGTGTCCCTCTTCACGCTTACCTTTTTGCATAGTACGTTGTACTGCAATTCATGTGGCAAACAGTACAAAGGGTATACTGTGTGTGAAGGATACGAATGTATGTGAGTTATTCCCAACTTTCAATTCGCAAAAGCAGAACGCGTGCAAATAAATGAAATAAAAGTTATTTCTCAGTCATTTGGCAGCCAGCATGCAGCAATGTAATATATTTTGAAATTAAAGAAAATGATCTTAATAACAAAATACTCTGTTGATGATGAATTCGAASATGATGATGAGTAAGCTGATGATGATAAAAGCGATGATGCGTATGATGAAGATGATACACTGTCAAGAAAATTTAAGTAAGTATGAACTAGATTATTTTATATCTGGTTACATGTATTGCTCATAAATTCTTGCCACTGATAAAAAATTGCGTACTTAGATAATAAAGATAAATGTAATAAAAAGTGGCACCGGGCTTATCTTAGAAGGGGTGCGAAACCAATTGAGAGACCATGTCATTGTCAAACTGCATACGTTTTRCACTATCGAAACCAAGCTCTTTTGCGTTTATATACAACGCGCTTTCAAAAATTCCAGATATAAGGCGTCTTGCTGTAGAGGTTTAGTTTTCCTCATTTCCTTAATTAAATTAGAATAAGTAATTATAGTTGGTTTGGCCAAGGATCCGGGATCCTTCTATTGATCAGTGTTATAGACGACATTGACGGCAATGCGAAGAGCCATTCTACACTACGTTATGGTCTATTTTTTACGAATTATGAAGTTAACTTRCTTCGTGCTCAGGGGTAACCTATGTTCAGATGTCCGTGTACCATACATACTTGTACCACCCGTTTTGTTACTTACCGTATGTACATCCCAAGATATAACGCCCGCGCGATATCAATCTATAAACATTAATAGATGTAAAATTGTTTCTGTTTTGTCCTTGTATGATGAAAAATGTGCTCTTTATTAGAGGAGGAAGATTGCAATCAGTTTTACGCAGTGATACATAGGTACCCATTAGACTAGTCGCACTCTTCAGGCAGATATGGATATATAATTATTAGAATTATTATTTTTGTAATATTATTAATATTATYTTATTTTATTATTTGTGGATAACGTCTTTATTAACTCTAAATAACTCCAAATAAAATACCTATAGAAATACACTCCGAATGCTTTTCATCGTCTTGATGGAAACATCCAAAACTAGCTGTCCAATTATAACGGCTGATGCACGAAAAACATAGAGGATGCGCTGCTTATCATCGCTTGTTGGAAGACGCGATTAATAATAAAATCGATTCGTTACAATTATTTCCTGTCATTTGTTTMAACCACAGCTCATAATAAACTCTGTTATTTTCAGAATGTTAYAATTAGATCTAAGCTGATGCCAATTTTCTATTTTAATCTTCTTCATAATGAACGCMACAGTTTGCAATAAACTCAAACTATGACTTTCCGAATGTCATAGGTAGCGGTAACCTGCCGATTTTCAATCTTATTGTTGGTATGCTACATGTTTTATATATAAGCTTGAAGAGCTTTCAGCCGAAAGACTTTTATAAAAATAGAAGTCACAGTTTGCAATGAACTCAAACTATGGCTTTCTGTGATTTTTGTTATGTCATACCAGAAGTTATGGTTATGTACTTCTGGTCATACTTTAGGCACAGTTGACGGCATTGGTGTGCAGTTTGATTCCATGATCAATATTGTCGAATTCCCAGATGGTTGATATAGGCAAAAGTTATTAGAATTTGTTAATTTGCTCATCCGGGCAGCCCGGCTATAGCTACAGCTAGCTGATGCAAATTTCGAATTTATATGCAATTTTGGAGAAATTGAAGTAGTCATATCTTCTTTATTATTAAAGCCAGCTTCATGAAMTTTTCAGAGTATACTTTTGTTGGAAAGGTCAACTTGGGCATGAAATTTGATTGAGTTTTATGAGCTTGCCCAAAAGTTAGTAAGAAAGTCTAAAAGGATGGCCAGCGGCAATTTTCATCGGCGATGTAGAGGGTGTTTTTACTATAAACAAAAAAGGGAAAGAAAACAAAATTTATCGTGGTTAATGCTTCACTTCAACGTTATTCAATGCCAGTTAATAGTTTTTGATTTGCGCATTCGTTTCTCGAGCGACACATKGCTGAGCCCACGGTATTCTTATTTAAATCCCCTAATTCAAGGCTTTTAATTTTGTGTTCACCGCTGAAAATCTGTCACATGTCCATTATGCATCAAGATCTATCTGTATGTGGATTTTAAATTTTTTGAAAAAATTCAAATATATTTCCTTCCTACTAGATTGTATACTGATCATCTCTTTCAAAATGGTACAAAAACTACTGTAACTCCGTTTTTGTCCTTTGGAAATTGAATGTGCATATCTATTAGTATTAAACTAAAAGAACACTTTTTTGCACTATATCACCTAGGGTGGTTGGTCAGCTCCGGCGCCCATCGGGCAATACCMCATTRACAGTGACTCACTTTCCAAGATTCTAATAGCTATCCGGCGGAAACAGTCAAAGCACGTTCCTCATCTTCTCTAACACTAATGTTCTTTCTTATCTGTGYATTGTGAACCATTAGTTCAGATCGCACACAGATCCAGACACAGGCTATAGTCTATACCACTTTTGAATRGGGACTGACGTCAGGACCCTTTGCTACTAATACTCAAATGATACATTGGACGAGGTAAAAAGTAACACTAGCGCTGACAGTTCAAAAATTAATTAAGCTAACTCATTCGTGGCAGTAGCTTGATAGTAAACCCATTGTTTTCTTTGTTTCGCATCAGTTGCTACAAATTGGTAGTCGTTTATGGGGTCACCTATATATTTTCACTTAAAAATGATTGAACTAACGCAAATTCAATTTCTCCGTGACACGTGAAAAGACTAAAAATTGTCGTGAATGAACTTTGCCTTAATGTCAGTTTTATAAGTAGTTAAACTAAAGAGACCGTCATCCTTGTAAACGAAGGGATACATGTATATCTTAAAGATATACGCACCATAAATTTAATTATCCTTCATTTTTGTATTTGTTTGATTCAAATTTTTTGCATTAATTCCATCTTATCATTATTATATATCTGGCTTTCCAAATACACGTTCTTACCATACATTGTCGATCGTACCGTCGTTTTTGACAGAAAAAAAATTATATACTATAGATCCGGGAGCAGACATGGCGTCAAAGTCATTTATTTTCTCTAGAATCAACACAAAKATTTAATATCTTTAAATAAATTATTTGGCATTAGTCGAGTGGTTTCAATTAATCCGTGTAATAGTTAGTAGATAAATAGACACTATTGAATCCTTTTGTTTTCTTTTGTCTATATCTGACTATTACACACTGACTATTAGACTTTGTTTCAATGGATTAATTGAAACCACTCTGTACGTATCGGTGATAAACAAATCATATCAATCTTATATAATCTTCTACGCCCAAAAACTTGTAMGTATATCATTATATCTGATTTATATATTAATAAACTAACAAGAAATTACACGACTTGAGCCCTGYGAATCTAAATAAGTTTTCGATGTCTTTGGGTTTCAGACATTACAGATTTCAGATTTCAGAGATATTCCATTCTTTTACAGATATTTTGCATGTACTTTTTATATGATTTCCATTTATCAGCTCATTGAAATTCTCATTCTTGTTGGTTGCATATTAAATATGTAAGCTTATCTACACTAAATAMAATATTAAAAAACATGCTAATCACTATCAGCCTCTAAATCATCATCTACATCATCACACCGATCAAGACTTGTCACATCTTCTTCCAATAAAGTTAGAACTKCTTCTTGCGAATCATTTAATGTATTGTGTAGAATATCTATATAGTTGGATGAGAAAGAGAATTGATTCGACCACAGATGTTGTAGGCCTGCCAGCTCTTGAATCAATGTTACTCTCTTGTTGAGTAACATACTTTGCAGTCCATGTCCTAATCCTTCACTTGATGCTCTCACATCTATTTTGTGTAATTCGCTTTCTAGGAAAGCAACAAATCGATTGAGTTCATCATTTAATAAATTCAATTCTTCTTTGCACCGTTTCTTGATACAATGAAAATGTATCAACTTAGACTTGGTGGAAGTAGGAACTGTTGTTGTGCAAGATGTTTCGCCACARTCAACACAGGCATAGATGACTGATTTGGGATCTTTAATGTCATCAAAGATCATTTCTTTATCCATGGAAGTCCTGTTGTCTTTGTTGTTCAACTGCTCCAACAAGGAGTTCATGCTGATAACCACCTTACTTATCTCACGAGATAATTTAACAGCTATTGACTGGCCATCTGTTGAGGTAATAAATGGAACTTACATTTACTGCTGAACATTACTTTCTTTCCAATCTTACTTTGAATATTAACTTAAACATTCAAAAATACATGTATTTGACTGCAATCTATCTTTGGGTATACTGTAAAGACCTTGAAACATATACATGTATGTTTCATCAAAGTCTTGATGGTTATAATAGTCTGTATTTCATCTCCTAACAAATCAMCTTTTTGGTGAAACTATTAATTATTATTAATTATTATTATTTTTGGTGAAATTATTGAGAAAATWATCTTTGAATTTCARACCTGCATATTTCTTCTTCATTTCTAAGAGGAACACCCGTTCAGATGCCAAACGATGGAGCTGGAACAGGATGTTGTCTCTTGATTTGGCTACAAGACTGTGAAGGGCACCTTGTGCAGCAGTACTTTTCATATCCCAACTCTTAGTTATGCCATGCCTAGTTTCAATTGCCTTAGTACTCTTTACCAATCTAAAAAATAACAGTATACTATAATRTTATTCATTTGCTTATAACTTAGAATATATATTATTCTACCAGTTAGCTCACGCTAATACTAGAAGGGCAGTCACAAAGAGTTCACAGCCTGCAAAGGTGTGCTGGCTCCTTCATTGCTCTTATTGTGGGCAGGATGGGCAATTTAAAGGAAGGCAGTGTGTTTGAATATACAACAAAATTATTCACTTGTAATACTGGGTTTATATTATTAGTACAATTTAAACTAACAGAAATATAGTTAGTTATACTATACCTTTCAAGATTTTTTTGGACCAACGATGTATCCTCTTTGCTTGAAGTTGCATTACTCAAATCAATAATGTGTCTATTTAAACAGAATGTGTTGTGTCATTCACAATTTTAATTTAATTTTTTTTATTAAAATAAATCGACAGTGTATCAACCAAATTATTTTTACCTCATTTTAGTGATGTCCCTGATATTCCTTACATATTCCTCATCCCAAGTGAGTTCTACATAGAGTACAAAAAATAACAATTACTCTAATAAATCAACTATTTGTTTAGGACCTTTAATCTAATTAATTCAATTAATACATTGTATTATCACCTTTTTCCTTTGGTTGGAAGGACAAWAGCTCTTCACAAAGCCACCCATCAATCAATTCATCTGTACAAGTAACTGAGAAAAATACCAAATACCATAAATGATTTAATAATAATACTGTCTTTGCATCAACAGAATTTCTAAATACCAGGTTGTGTCACTTCTACATTTATGAACATGCAGAACAAGTCATACATAATACATGATTGTATTCCTCATTTTAAGTACAAGCACTAACAATTAAATATCCACAGTACTTCATGTGAACARWGAGTTGTCAAATATTWATCTGTTTGATGACACATAATACTCTTCCTGCTCTTCGATCAATGRCATACATGTAAGTAATTAATATATACTTTACCAGCCATAGATTTGCATAACTCATCAAGATCACTACTTGTCTGGATGAGCAACTTTTGTGTTCTTTTAAGTTTCATCTTAAGGACTGGACCTGTACAAATAAAATATATTTAAATGAAATATCTCAAAAATATAGATCTATTGTTTCAATTTAGTGTTAGCCCCAGTGCAATGGAATGCTTGTAACAAATTAATTAAATAAATAAAAYTATATGCAAATATGTAATATAGTACCAAATCTATGGCGCAGCCTTTCAGYATAATGCAGCAAACCATCTGTCAAAACATCCACTCTTTTATCAGGTGCCATCTCTTTAGTGATCCTTGCATAGTCACGGAGAAATGACCAAAGTCGTTCTGTTCCCTCTCCATCTGTTAGCCCAACACCTTCTACTCGCCTTGGAGAATATTTGATCTAAAACAAAATATTTATCTGAATAAATAAGCTCAACAATTTGGATGTTTTGTATCTGTGCATTGTATATGCAATACAATGTAGGACTCCAGGAAAAAAGGACAAGGTAATAATTTTATTAATAATATATATGTACATGTAGCTCTATTATTAAATATAATTATTGTACAAACATTCAAATGTCTTGTATTCCCACAATCCCTCCAGTCTCAGCTTTCATAAGAAAATTGTGACTGACTTCATCATGTTGGTGAAACATTATTTAATGGTATTACCTGACAGCTTGCTTTATGCCCATAACAATGAAAAATTGGTATGGCCAATTTGACTTCCCTTACTAGACTGGTTTTTCCAATATTTTTCTAAAAAAAAAACCACAAAAAATGTGTTTTTCTTTTGCAGCACAATATATTTTATATGTTATTTGTATTACATGAGTGGGAAACTGATTACCGGTATCCCATACTGTACATGTAAGTGTACCGTAACTGTACAATAATTATCATGGTCAGTTTCCCACTCATACAAAACCCACTATAAACACCTTGTCATCAAACCTGCATCTCTTAGACACAACAGGGAATAAATGATCTATTGTTGAAGTTGACAGCCTTTTCAAGATTGGCTGTTGATGTGTACAGTGTATTTGATACATTAATAACAGTTAATGCAGTTACAGCCTTTTGCAAAAATTATGAGAATTGTCTAAATATCTAA